GGTTCGGTCAAATTTCCAAAAAAATTGATTTTTCAAAAAAAAAAAACGGCAGGCGGCCGCGAAGGCCTCCATTTTATGGCCGCCTGCCAGGCCGCCTATGAGTTTATTTGACCATCTTGTTCTGTATTTTGTGCTCTTCAACTTTCCCTTCTGGACCACTTTGAAATTCTGCTTGCTTCTTTCGGTATGATATCATTTTTCACTCATATTGACGCATTTTGTGCTTAATTGACCCGAAATTTCGTCAAACATATCATGGACGTGATTTTTACCTGATTTCACGAAACTTGAACCAAAATATATAAAAGAAAAAATTCCACTTTTGGTCCCATGACTATTATACCACTTCCACATTTAGTCCCTTACTTTCAGATTGTCCACATTTAGTCCGTGACCATTATCCCCTCACCACCCCTCGTCCTTCCGGTTAAAATTCAGGCAAATTTAGTTCACTTCTCAACATCAGAATCAGTCTTTGCATTAAATTTTGTATCAGGTTGGTTTTTTCATAACAATCTTTGCATTAAATTTGGTTTTTCATCCCTAAAATCTGCATTAATTTTTTCGGAATTTTGGCCGGAAGGACGAGGGGTGGTGAGGGGATAATGGTCACGGACTAAATGTGGATAATCTGAAAGTAAGAGACTAAATGTGGAACTGGTATAATAGTCATGGGACCAGAAATGGAATTTTTTCTATATAAAACATGCATTGTTTTTCTATTTTCCAATCCAAAATCGCTTAAAATTGATAAGAAAAATAAGTACAAAAATGGACTTATCACTGTGCCAGACCAAGAAATACATTCATCCTCGAAGTTCATAAACAAAACTGTTTACATCTCTCCTTCGATTAAAAAAATTGCAGACCTCGGTACTTCTTTAAAAAATGAAAAGAAAAAGTTTTGAATGTGAAAAGGAAAGATTGTCAAGTATGTCGTGGACCGATGGCATTAGTGTGACACTCCCAAGAAGGAGATCACATGTTCGAATCACATCCCAGTTCAAGGATGTTGACCTTAACATAGAACATATGTTATTATAGGTTAGAAATAATTGCCAAAAAAAGGAAAAGGAAAGATTGTTGAGTGAAATCACCACTCTCAAAAAAACCTCCCAGTGCAGCACAACTTCCTCCTCATCAAACAATACTTGTTCTGAAAAGTTTTTTGATAATTAAACTCGTTGTTCTAAAAAAGTGTCCACTCAATTCGAGTCTCCTTTCAAAATAGAGAACCATGTGAGTAAGAGTTAGGAGAGGAGAACATAGTGGATACATGACAGGAGAAGAAGGAAAGTAAAACACAAGTCATTTTAAAAATTAAAATGAAAAAGACATGTTCAAGTGCTTCTTGGAAGACTCTAGAAGTGTATTGTGTATATGAAGTTCTAGAGAATCTTAAACGTACACAATAGTAATATAGTATAAATAAGGGTGAGACTTCTCATTTCCATGAGAGAGAGCTTTGTGAGAGCCTTGTGAGAGCCTCCTTTCGTGATGAGAGAGAGAGAGCCTAATTGAGAGCTTTTGAGTGAGTAAGAGTCTCCGATCCTTAAGAGATGAGAGTGAGAGTGAAGAAGTCTTTTTTTACAAAGAGTGAAGTAACTTATCCGTTTACTTGTAAAATCTCTTGTACATTTCAATTGTATAATACAAAGTGGTATTGTCCGATGGAGCCCTGTACTATGAGTGTGCGAGTGAATGTACAAGAGTTCTATCAGCTCATGATCCTGGAAAAAATATGATTGGTTCATTTGTGACTTTACAAAGTAAGATTCATCATGAAACATGATTGTGGCACTATTCTCAAATTATACATTGATCATATATATATATATATATATATATATATATATATATATATATATATATATATATATATATATATATATATAAAGAGAGCTCTTCCTGTCCGGCCAGGCCGGAGGAGGCTCTTGTCCGGCCACCTCAATTTGAGGTGGTTCCGAGGTATTTTTGGCTGAATTTTTTTTGTATGTTGCTCATCAAGTCTAGTTCATCCATATCAAATTTGTGCAAAAAATTCAATCGAGAAGGTCGTCAAATGATTTTTGCATGAAAACTGGTCCGGAATATACATATAAAACGCAGTTTTCATGCAAAAATCATTTGAGGTCCTTCCCGATTGAATTTTTTGCTTAAATTTGGTATGGATGAACTAGACTTGATAAGGATTATACAAAAAATATTTCAGCCAAAAATACCCCCCCCCCCTCGGAACCACCTCAAATTGAGGTGGCCAGACATGAGGTTCCTCCGGCCCGGCCGGACAAGAACTATCGTGTGTGTGTGTCTATATATATATATATATATCATTTATTAACACATTAAAGAATCATATATAGTAAAATATTGTACTACATAATACTTATCTCAGTATATTTAAAGAATCTGTTCATTCAAACTTGCATTGTCCATCCCTAATAATTTAGAGCAACATGAATTAGCTATGTAGATGGGCCGAGTGGGCTACCAACTTGCATTGTCCATTCCTAAACCTTAAATCTTAAACCCTAAACCCTAATAGGAACAACTCAAACATAATAAAGCCAAAGCCACAGAATGAGAATGTCGGCAAGATGTAAACCCTATGATTTATTTTCGTTTGACGCTTAGAGAGAGAGAAGCCCTCCCCATTTCTTGTCCCTCATCCTTCGTCCCGGAAGGAGATGGTGTTTCCGTTGGGAGAATTTGTACTAATAAATTAATAATTATAATAATAATTAAAGTTATATTGTTATATGAAATAATGTGATAAATATTACTAAATTAAATAGGGAGATTTCTCAAAGTAGGAGTAAATGAAGTTTGAAATTTCAAAATATGACTACTTTGTTTTTATTCCCAAAATGATAGTATTTACTGTCATCTTATATCCATGACGCCAAATAGTTGCAGTACAATGCATTTAACATGACAGTATTTATTATAATTAATGATAGTATTTTTCAATCATGACAGTATTTTTCATACATGGCAGTAATAACTCCTATTTCGGGAAGAAAAACATATTAGTCCTATTTTTGGAATTACAAGTGTCATTTGCTCCTATTTTGGGTAATTTCCCTATTAAATATGGCGGGAAAAAATATGTCTTTCTACTTATAGTGATTATATTAGTAACTTGTAGTTACTATTATTAAGTTATCTCACACCGATTACATATAAAAATTCAAAACAACATATATAATTTGGGATACTCCTAACAATTACCAGGTTTATCTTTTTCGGATGGAATCCCAAAACTTAATGTTAAAATATTTGTCTCACACAGGAAAACTATAAAAACAATAAAACAATATATAAGACTTTGAGTTACTCCTCTTATCAGGTTGACATTTTACGATGGAACCCCGGGTCTTAACATGATATCAGAGCCAAATCGATCTATGATGTGGATCCTCTTATGAAAAATGATGACATGATTATAAAAAAATTACAATGACGACCCGGTGAAAAAATGAGTGACGGCACGACTCAGACAAAGTGTCTGGTCGTGAGGAGGGGTGTTAAAGTCCCACACCGGATATCTCTGAAACAATTAAACACTATATTAAGATCTCAGATATTCCTCCTATCATGTTGACCTTTTAGGATGGAACCTCAGTTCTTAACAAGAACCCCGAGTCTTAACATGGTATCAGAGCCAATTACGGTTATGGTTTGACTGTTTGTTTAGCAATCATGATTACAGGTAGCTTATTAAGGGTCTGTTTGGCCCATTTATACACTCCGATATTGTCCGGCCCGATTTGGACTGGGGGGGCGTGTTAAAATATTTGTCTCACACCGGAAAACTATAGAAACAATAAAACACTATATAAGGCTTTGAGCTACTCCTTCTATCAGGTTGACCTTTTAGAATGGAATCACGGGTCTTAACACTTAATAACCACAACCATGTTTAATTTTACACTATAATGACCATGATTTTATAGGCATAGCAACTTTAATCATATTTTTATCTATTTATTTTAAAAAAACTTTTTATTATACATTGGAAAACATTGAATCAAAATTTTGCAATACAATATGGAGTAAGACGTAAGACACATCGTAGTTCTACATATGTCTTTTTTTTTCCTGTGAATTCTAGATGATTTTAATTCCCAAAACTTCAGAAGACGATAATATAATGAGACTATTGACAAAAGTATACTCTCTCAATTCTAAATTGATTATTCTTTATTTTTGCAGACATATTAACAATTAAGGTGATTAAAAAATAAAAATTGTGATCAAGATTTTAAGTATAACAAAATGTAACGATATTTTTTATCAAAAATAGAAACATTACCATTATTTGGAATAGACAAAAAGGAAAATCAAGGCATTCATTTTGTGATGGAAGAAATATCGTTATCTAAAAACCGTTCTATGCGTCTGACTAGTTTCCGCCTATCGCTAGGCGGTGGTCGGGCACCTCGATTTTTGTATAGGCGCTCCGACTAATTGGTTTGCCGTCCAGGTGAATTAGTCAGCTGTTTATGGCGCCTATATTTTATTATTATTTATATTTATAACATAATGAAGTTAAGTGATTAGTTATCATATACTATGTTTGATTAAATGTGATAATTATATTATTCATGTTTGTTTATGTATGCGTATATATGTATTTTATGCACACACAAAATACAATACGTAGTATTACTGAACATATTTACGCAAAAATATAGATAAAACACAATTTTATGTTTCCGACTAGTCCCCGACTAGGCGGTCGCCTAACCGCCTAGGCGTTAGGAGTTGGGCTAGCGCCCGACTAGCGCCTAGCACCTTTTAGAACATTCAACTATAATAATCCAAACAATATTCAATTTTACATTTTTACACTGAATTTGTCATGGTGCTACTAGTGTAATGAATTTAGTTTTTATAAAATTTTTACAGCTTAAATATTAAATTTAATATCATAATCTTTAAATTGGGACTATGGGTCATAAACATTAATTATTTTGAAATGAAGTGCAAAATCAAAATTTACAGAAAATGGGATGTTAACAAAAAGCCCATGAGACTGTATTGATTGTTTTGGAGGTTAACTAGGTGGTGACTGGTGAATGTTGCAAAATCATATGTAAAGAGAATTTAATCTCTGCGTTGTAGGAGGGTTCTCGAAAATTTTGGTTAGTGTCTCCCCATAATTAATTATTGAAGAACCCTAAATTCTTCTAGTAAGTTCTTAGTTTTACTACGAAATTGTTTAATTTCTGCAAGTTGATTCTCTCTATGTTTCATAATTTAGCTGTTGGCATTAGTTTTATTTACCCCATTAAATGGTGGGTTATGCTGACTGAAGGAATGATTCAAAGTTTCAGTGACTAAGCAAAATCCATTGAAGGAATTATCTGATGTCAAAATTTACATGGAGGATTGAAAATTTCTCGGGATTGGATGCTGAAAAGATTTACTCTGTGACGTTTGTTTTAAATGAATACCAATGGTATGCCCCAGTTCGAAATTAGAGAAAATGAGTAAATGAGGTTTGTTTTGCAAATTATGGGGTGTTTGGATTTGATTCTTAAAACTGCTTCTGCTCCTTCAGAAGTGATTCTGGTGCTCTAATTTACTCCTAGAATCAGTTTTTTTAGAAGCTGGGGAGTGACCAGCTTCTGAAAACTGATTGTGATTCTACTTCTGCTTTAAAAAAGAAGCAGAATCAGAATAAGTTCTAAACACCCCCTATGTATGAAAATGAGTTTTAGTTTATACTCCCTCCGATTCCTAAACAAGTTCCACATTTGACTTCACACATATTAAGAAAATAAATTTGACTTTATTGTGGAGTGCACTGTTTGGCACTGTTTGACACTGTTTGACACTGTTTTGATGTAGATAATAAGGAAATGTTAGAAAGCGGAACTTAATTTTGAATCTGCCCGAAAAGGAAAGGTGGAACTTTTCAGAAACGAAGGGAGTATTAAAAAAGGATGTAACCGGTCGTACAATGATCTTGGAGGATGTAAATGGACTTGATCTCTGAGAGAGTGGGGTTATAGGTTTCCACTCTTCCAGCCTCGGTCTTCGCCCGGAGTTGAACCCGAAACCTCTCCCTGGGATCGAGCTACTCCCAGGCTTATGTATGTAAATGAGTTTTAGTTTTTATTTTATCTATAGGAGGTTGTGTCTTCATCCGAAAGGAATTAAAGCGGGTCATTTGTCTGTATACCTCCTTGTGGCTGACTTGTCCAACTTACCCAATGGCTGGAGTATAGCAACAAAGTTCAGTTTAGCTCTTGTTAACCAGATAGACAACCACAAAACCATCAAGAGAGGTATTTTTGCACGACTCAAATTTATTTAAAATGATCATCATTTTATCTATTTCTTGGCTGCTCTTAGTTTATTTCTGTCCTATGGCCCTAAGTTTTAAATCTAATATGTACTCATTACCACTAAATGCTGTTGTTTCATGATCCGGGTGTGTCGCTAAAGCGAGACACCATGTCTTATGCACCAGGTCTCGTCCTAAGGATTTCTGGCACATCACCTTCTACTAGCAGCCTTTTAAGATTCCCAAAATCATTACATGGTTGCATGTCTGACTTCTTTGAGATGTAGAGAATCAAGGTGACAAGGACTAGAAGTACTATGTACAAAATGCTGTAAACCAAATAGTTAGTGTCTCAATCATACCCTCTCAAAGTTATTGTGTTCTTTTAGCATTTCTATTTCTGCGCATTATGCAGAGTTTAATTACAAATTCCTATCTGGAGATACTAGTTGGGGCTTAGCATCAATTGTCCAGCTCAGTAAGTTGCACGATAAAAGCGAAGGTTATCTGGTTGATGACATGTGCTTGATTGAAGCTGAGGTGTCTGTTCAGAATGATGCTTCTCCAGCTTCGAACGATAATGTCGTAAGTCCATGCTTTGCTGAAGCGGAAGAATATGTCCTTGTGATATTGTAATAGTTTGTCTTCCTATTTCGATAAGATTATTCTCTCCATTGGTGTATGTAATCAGGATGTAGATTCTTCTGCTGCTGTAGACGACATGGAATCTGAGTATGTCAAGGCTTGATCTTTTCTTGAGTCTCTACCCAAGATACCATCCAGCAGCTCAGCATATAATGCTCCATCATGTGAAGTGGCTTTGCTTAGAAGACATGGCACTTCTGCAAAAGAAATCATTGATATACTAATATCATACCCTTTGGATGTTCTGGCTGATCCAAGGAATGAAACTGCAATACTGGAGTCATTGTCTGCTCTTACTAAGAACCGCTATTTTTTAGTGATGGGCGGGAATGGAGAGATTCAGTTCAAGGTAAGTGTAGTAGCAGTCATCCATGGTCTTGTTTTGAGAAGACCAAAAGTTTGCTTGAAGAATTAGTGACAATGGGGGATGAAACAAATGGTAAACTGGAAGAACTAAACAAGAAAGAAATGGAATTGGAAGCTCAGCTGGAGGTCATTAAAAGCAATATTCAACAACTTAGGGAGGAAAGGGAAGATTTATCAAAACAGATTAAGATAGTGTATTCACTTGCAAAGGAGCAGGGTAGCAAACTTGCAGCAGAAGAGGTGGATATGAGCCTGGCTACTAAAAGCTGAAGTCAAAGTGGGCTGAAACCAGACTTCTCTTTAGTTGAGAATCATGACCTGGGCTAGTTGGCTGTGTCTAGTCACAATCATTTCCCCATCTTTATGTCTTTTAATCTGTTGCTAAGGGCTCATTTAAGCCTGCTTTTGTTAGGTTTGGTTTTCAAAGTGATTCACAATAAGAATTCTACAAGTAACATTTTTTTTTGCAAAAACGTAACATGAAACGGGTTTGGTAATAATGCAAATACAACGGGTTTAGTGCATGATTATTTTTTAATATGAATATGAACTACTCCCCTCTGGGCACTGGCTAAATGACATTTTTGTTTTCGTTTTGGTCTGTCCAGACATTTTTTCTTCTTTTAAAGAAAAGTAGAAGACATACTTTTTCTTTGCTACCCTTGTAATATCTCATTCTAGTGACAGATCTTTCCTCTTTAAGAAAAGTAGAAGGCATACTTTTTAGCTCAGATATTAAATGAACATAGCTTGAACAAGAAGCTCGTTTAAGAGAATCTTGCAAGGGTAGCTATTGAATAAAGGTTGACCCATCACCTTGTTAATTTTAGAGAATCTGTGCAACTGCGATTTGGAGTGAGCATTGGCCCAAGACAACATTGCATCTATAGGTGAAGTGAAACAGGGCTACATCAAATGAGGCAGAGCGAAGCACATATCACCAAAAAAATTCGAGAAAGAGTGGATAATCAACATCCAACAAATTAAATCAAATGGAAATTCTCAAATTCTGCTGACCTCTTCACAAAATCTTTACCCTTGATATAATTTACACAACTCGAACAAAAATATGCTTGTGTCATCTATGAGATTTATGCTAAGTTAATGGGGAGTATTTTGTGTGGTGCATTTTTTTCACTCTATGTTTTTTCCTAATATCTTTTAACAGGATAGCATCTTCAAATACAAGTTGTATTCTTTTTACCAAATTTGATTTTCTCACTAATTTTCATAATATGTTTTTAAGATAATAATATTCCTATTCAAGGATGAGCAGGAATAGTTTCATAAGTGTAATTTTTTTTTTAATGAAAAAAAAGAAGGATGAACATTCAATGGGGGAGTCTAGTAAAAGTAATAGTTTCATAAGTGTAAATTATTAATCATTGTAAATTTGTAATCAAGCAACCTATCTAATTTTAATTTTTGTAATCAATAATGAACATATAACTATATTTACAATTTACAGCAACATTGTACAGAATTACTTGGATAAAATTTATCATCAAACTCAACCTCTATAAACGGGGATTTGATGAACTCTTTTAAGTTCATTTAAATAAATTTCATATCAAGAAAGAAGGATATCCATAGATCATTATTTATTTATCTATCTCATAAATAGATAAGTAAATAAAAATCTCTACGTTTTAAAAGGAAAAATAGCTTTAAATAGTACTACTTCCGTTCTTAAATAAGTGCAACATGTGAAATTTTACACTATTCACATGTTCTACTTTGACTACATTTTATTTATTGATGTATAAATATATTTTTTTTTGAAAAAATATATTATTAAATATGTCTCATCGTAAGTTTTCAAAAACGGATTTTTTAAATTTTTTTACTAATAGAAAATTATATATATTAATGGTCAAAGTTGTGTCTCGACAAGTGTGAAATGTTGACTGTTGCACTTATTTAAGAACGGAAGAAGTACATATTTTGAAAATGGTTTTTAATAATATCAACTATTTGAATGTAAAATAATAATAATAGGGTGTCACTTTTTGACGAGAAATCCGATCATTTAAGACATCTAAAACTAATGACAACCTGTTGAATAAATGATATTTGGAAATGCATTCACTTATTAGATATATCAGCAATTGTTAGTGTACACACTTTATTGTTTACACACTTTTACACACGTCTGTGAAGACTTTTCTTTTGTCTGTGAATAAACTGTTCACCGAAAAACATATTTTTTCAGTGACTACACTTTTCACAGACAAAAGAAAATCTTCACAGACTTGTGCAAAAGTGTATAAATAGTAAAAGTGTGTAAAAGAGTTTTTTTCTAGACATTTTGATACAAGTTTTTGATGAGTTAAATAGTTGATATATATTTAAATAGTTGGTATTATTAAAGTTTTTCTTTAATAACCAAGCATTCCAGTCCAACTGGTTGTGAGGTTACCGTGCCTAGTGAGAGATCTCGAGTTCAAATCCCGCTAAACACATAAAGGATTGAAACTCAATGGAGTGAGTTTCAAGTTTCAACCTGATTACTTCAGGCTCCCGCCCCCTTCCCCAGACGCCCGTGAAGTAAAAAAAAGTTTTTCTTGGAAGATAATTTGTACGAAGTGTTATTTAAATTTATTTCCCCTTTTTAAAATAAAAATCGTTTTTTTAAACACAGCAAAGAGCCAAAGACTACCTCAAAACGGAAGAGAACAACTGAACCATCTCTGGAACCATACGAAGCGACAACAGACGCCATAACTAGTTTGCCTCTGCAATAGTTCATATGTTTAATACTTTAATACAGACCATCGTAAATAAATTCTTCAGACTATGGAGCTGGGCGCCCGACGGTTTTCCTTAGACCCCTTTCTGCTTCAACAGGACACCTTCCAGGAGATAATATTTTCAAGATCAAGCACTGCTAGTAAATCCCTCTATGTTGTTTTGATTTTATTCTTTAATAATCACCACCCACCATTGACCACCAAGTGGAAGATGATGGAACCTAGTATAGTGAAAGTGGATTCATCTAGGTCAACTCAGAAGTATCTATTAAGTGAATAGTAATACAGTTTATGTAGTTAAAAAGGTATTTGGATGGGGACATGGGGTTGCTCTATATGGGCATACTAACATAAAATTAATTATAAGTAGATTATACTTTTTGAAAACCTCAGATACAGAGCTTATCCAAAAACATAGAACTAAACCTTGAAGAATCCTATGGTCTTCTGGAAGATTATTCTTAGTTTTTCACTGTGATGTTTAATTTCTGGTATCTGATTATTGGTATGGTTGGTAGTTTAGTTGTTTTGTTGTAGCTGTGTTTATGACATGTATTGACCGGTTATGCAGTTATGCTTACTGAGTTACTGAAGGAATGACTTAGAGTATGAGTGACTGTAAATTCAAAGCATTATGAGATGTCAAAATTTACGTGGAGAATCGAAAATTTCTCAAAATTGCTTGTCAAGAAGCTTTACTCTGTGACATTTGTCATAGATCAGTACAAATGGTATGCCCTACTTGGACATTAGTGAAAAATATTGTTCTGTTTTGCAAATTATGTTGGCCGATGAGTTTCACTTTCTTCTGTATCTGCAGGAGGCTATGTCTTGATCCAAAAGGATCATCAAAACTGATGTATATGTACCTTGAAATAGCCGACTCGTCAAGCTTACCTAATGGTTGGAGTATACCAGCAATGTACAACTTAGCTCTTATTAACCAGATAGACTTAAACAAAACCATCATTGAAGGTATTATACCATACGAGCCACTGAGTATCAATATTTTATTTATTTGTTCTCTGCTCTTATTTTACGCTATGGTCATGGTCCTAAAATTTAAATTTTCATTCTCATTACCAGTTACGACTCAATGTAATTGTTTGGGGATCAGGGTATTTAGTTTGGTTTTCAAGCCATATATATTGTCTTACACACAACATCTTTTATTGTAAGGAATTGAGGATTTTCGGCACGTCATCTTACACGAAAAAGCTTTGAAAGTGGCAAAATCATTATGTGGTCATATGACTTTAACCTATTAAGAATGTCAAAATCATCTCTTTAATTCTTTGTAATATAGCGATTTTTTGGAGTAGATATACAAATGATACTCGTACTTACCAAATACTCCCTATGTCCATGAATATTCCCTTGATTCTTTTATAGTTCGTCCCAAAATTATCCCTCTTTCCTTTTGAAGCGAAGGAGAACCTTTTGTTCATATTATTTTTCTTTTCTCTAAATAAATTCAATTACATGGCTTACATTTTCTTAATCTCTTTGATATGTCAAATTGTGTGATTATTTAAGAAGGGACGAGGGAGTAATTGTGAGAATATTAAACTCAATTTTATAGCATTACTTTATGGAAATTCAATTTCTGCACATTATGCAGAGTGCGAAGATGAATTCAACATTCAAGATAATAGTTGGGGACTCTCATTAATCTCGCTCAGTAAACTTCTCAATAAAAGTGAAGGTTTTCTTGTTGACGACACATGCTTGGTTGAAGTTGAAGTATCTGTGGTGATGGATGCTACTACTCCAGCTTGCAATGATAGTGTATGTTCATAAATGCTTGATCTTACTTTTTGAATAGCATGCCTCAAAGGCTCGAGGCTCGAGTAAGTGATAAGAAGTACTCCCTCCGGTTCTTATTAAAGTTCCCACTTTCCTTTTTGGGATGTCCCTTATTTAAATTCACACTTCCATTTTAGGAAACAAAACAGTGCAAAACAGTGCCAAACAGTGCCAAACAATGTCCAAACAGTGCCAAACAGTGCACTCCACAGTAAAGTCAAATTCATTTTTTTAATATGTGTGAAGTCAAGCTGGGAACTTAAATAAGAACGGAAGGAAGTATATGTTAGATACAACTTGAGTAGGAAAATAGTTATTTTTTACTATTAACAGCTTAACAAAATGTTATCATTTGTTTTGTTTGTCTCCTTTCCTCTAAAAAAGGGAAGTCCGGTGTACATTGGCGTCCCCGCAAGGCGAGGTTCCAGGGAAGCGTCCCACCACAAGGAGACTTGTTTGAAAGTGACTACTAAAAAGTTTGTTATTGTGGTTTACTATTACACAGTTTATTGTTTAAAAGTTACTACTAAACAGTTTATTATTACTATTAATAGTTTACTATAATTTTTAAAATTACTAATTTAAAAATTAGTATTCTGAAAATTAGTATTAATTGTTTAAAATTACTGTTAAACATTATTTAAAAATCACTAATAATCATTTTATACTTTTACAAGAGAGTTAAGGAAGTAGTCCTCCGATAGTGGGTGGATTGTTTAAATTGTTAGTCCCATATCATAACAGAAACATGAATATTACGTAGTAGTATATCACTCCTCCATTAGTCCAAATCTCTAGCAGATTGTTTAATTTTTCTACTTTTAATAAATGATCATTGTTGTATGTATATGGTTTTTAGTGTGAAATTGTTTAAACTATCTGATCAATGTAAGGTTGATGATGATCACATTCCATTTAGTCATATAGTTTTTAACACCTTAAACCAAGTACATTTAGTTTTTTTTTTTACTCCAGGGGGCTGGGGGAGCCTGGAGTAATCAGGGCTGAAACTCACTCCATTGAGTTTCAAACCCTTTATGTGCCTAGCGGTTTTCGAACTCGAGATCTCTCACTAGGCACGGTAACCTCGCAACCGAGTACATTTAGTCATATAAACTAAAATATTCTAAAACAATTGATCTTTAGCGAGTGTCCAATGTGCTTGAGGTGTGAGTCAAAATGCCATACACCTTTTTAAACTAAGCGCTTGATTGAATCTGAAGTGAATCTGCAATGTGCATGCTATATATTGTCCCAGTTGTTCTGTGTTTTCTAATGACTTGTTTTTCTCGTGGGTGCATGTGACCAGGCTTTATATTCTTCCGTTTCTCTCGATGATCCTATTGAACATGTGCACGTTGAGACTCAGTCATTTCTCGAATCCCTACCCAAGGAACCATCCAGCAGCTGCTCGGTATCTAAATCTCCAACATGTGAAATGTCTTTGCTAAAAGGTCATGCATCTTCTGTAAAGGAAGCACTTCACATGCTGATATCATACCCTTTTGATGCATTAGCCGATCCCATGAATGAAACTGCAATTCTGGAGTCTTTGTCTGAACTAAACGACCACCTTTATTTGTTTAGTGATGCACGGGCCAAAGAAATTATGAACTTGAAAGTTACTTTTCCTCAGATAACGCAGGAATGGAGAGATTCAGTTCAAGTTCAGGGAAGAAGTGAGCATCCCTGGTCTAGTTTCGAGAAGACCCGAAATCTGCTTGAAGACTTGGTGAAAAGGTGGGACGAAATAAATGCTCAACTGGAGGAGCTAACCAAGAAAGAAATGGATTTGGGAGCTCAGTTGGAAGTCATTGGAAGCAGTATTCGACAACTGATGGAGGAACGTGAAGAATTATCACATCAGACGAAGGCAGTTTGTTCACTTGCGGAGGAGCAGGCTAACAACATTAAAGCAGAAAAGGTGAAGTTGGTGCTAGAAATTAAACTTGGCTTAGCCCAATAATTGGGTCCATTAGATGTTAACTTATTGGGCTAGAAGTTGTATGATAATTAATAAATTAGCTAGCCCATAAGATAGACTTAGAAAGATCTAGAGTAGTTAATGTACCTAAACAATTCTAGATTATTCCTAAGCTAGAATCCTATAGAATATTCTAGAAGGTTAAGGAAGTAGGAGTGCCTAGAAGGATCCTATGAGACCTATAAATAGAGCACTCCTCACTCATTTGTAAAGCAAGCCAAAAGCTCCAAATCAATACAAGTTCCAAGTTCTTCTAAAATCACCTCTCTCTAAAATTCTCTCTTCCACACACAATCACCCAAATATAATACTCATCAACTACTTTCTTCCAACAAAGTGGTATCAGAGCCATCAATCCTTTCAAGAAAAATGAATTCCAACGGCTTAGTTCCATTCCAATTTCCTCGTCTCACTAAAGATAACTACTCTAGTTGGTGCATTCGCATGAAAGCCTTGCTTGGATCTCAAGATGCATGGGAGATTGTTGAGAAAGGTTATGAGGAACCTCAAGATGATGCTACTTTAAATCAATCCCAAAGGGATAGTCTCCAAAAGAGTAGGAGGAAGGATCAACAAGCTCTCACTCTCATATATCAATGCTTAGACGAGGCCATGTTCGAGAAGGTTTCAAATGCCACCACTTCTAAAGAAACATGGGAGATACTACATAACTCTTTCAAGGGAGTTGACAAGGTGAAGAGAATTCGTCTTCAAACTCTTAGAGGTGAGTTCGAACAACTTAAAATGAAATATTCGGAATCAATATCCGACTATTTCTCTAGAGTGTTAGTAATTGTAAATGAGATGAAGAGGAATGGTGAGGAACTAAAGGACATAACGGTGATTGAGAAAATCCTTCGCTCTCTCACCAAAGACTATGATTATATTGTGGTGGTCATAGAAGAGTCCAAGGATTTAGAGTCCATGACCATTGATCAACTTATGGGCTCACTACAAGTCCATGAAGAAAGAGTTGTGAGAAATAAATCTGATGAATCATTGGAGCATTCTCTTTACTCCAAACTCTCTTTTAAAGAAAGAAGGGAGAATAGAGGTGAAGAAAGAGGCCAACGAGGTCGTGGTTATGATCGAGGACGTGGTGCACGTGGAAGAGGTGGTCGAGGTCGTGGTTATACAAACTTCAACAATGAAGAAAGAATTCAATATACGCAAGCATCTAGAGGCCGTGGGAGAGGAAGCAAACCACAAAGGTACGAGAAGTCTCAACTAAAGTGTCATAATTGCAATAAATATGGCCACTATGCATATGAATGCAAGCGCTCTAATCATGTGAAAGAAGAGGCCCATCTCATGGAGATGAATAATGAGGTAGAACTTACCTTGTTGATGGGAAATCATGAAGAACAAACAAAGAAGAGCACGTGGTATTTAGATACCAGAGCTAGCAACCACATGACGGGAGATAAAAGCATGTTCGTGAAGGTAGAACAAACTCAAGGTCATGTTACTTTTGGAGATGAGTCTAAAGTCGTGGTGAATGGTAAAGGTAACGTTCTAATCCGTCTAAACGATGGAAGTCACCAATTCATTTCCGATGTTTACTATGTGCCCAACTTAAAAACAAATATTCTAAGTATGGGACAACTCTTAGAAAAGGACTATGATATTCACTTAAAGAATCGTAGTCTTTCTCTACGAGACAATAATGGAAGACTAGTTGCTAAAGTGCCGATGACTAGAAACCGAATGTTCTTGCTTGACATTCAAAGAGATCAAGCCATATGCTTAAAAAGTTGCTTGAAAGACGAGTCATGGATTTGGCACTTAAGATATGGGCACTTAAACTTTGGTGGCTTGAAAATGCTATCATCCAAAGGCATGGTGAAAGGCTTGCCCTTCATCAATCATCCTGATCAGCTATGCGAAGGTTGCCTATTTGGGAAGCAATCAAGGAAACCATTCCCTAAAGAAGTTACCTCAAGAGCTAAGGAACCATTGGAGTTAGTCCATACCGACTTATGTGGTCCTATTACTCCATGTTCACATGGTAAAAGTAAGTACTTTCTCACTTTCATCGATGATTACTCAAGAAAAACATGGGTATATTTCCTTAAACAAAAATCTGAGGCCTTTGAAGCATTCAAGAAATTTAAGGCTCTTATTGAGAAAGAAAGTGGGTACACTATCAAAGCCATGAGATCAGATCGGGGTGGAGAGTTCACATCAAAGGAGTTTAATCAATTTTGTGAAGATAATGGCATCCGCCGTCCCATGACTGTCCCACGAACACCACAACAAAATGGTGTTGCCGAAAGAAAGAATAGGACGATCCTCAACATGGCTCGAAGCATGCTAAAAACAAAGAATATGCCTAAAGATTTTTGGGCTGAAGCTGTGGATTGTGCTGTCTATCTTCAAAATCGCTGCCCCACGAAGAGTCTCGATGGAAAAACTCCACAAGAAGCATGACATGGAGGTAAACCTGGAGTCTCACACTTGAGAGTATTTGGATGCATTGCATATGCGCATGTACCCGATCAGACTAGGTCAAAACTTGACGACAAGAGTGAGAAGTTTATATTCATTGGATATGATAGACACTCAAAAGGGTACAAACTCTACAATCCGGATTTGAAAAAGCTTATAATAAGTCGTGATGTGGAGTTTGATGAAGAAGGCTCATGGGATTGGAGCATTGGTGACAAAGAAGATTATAGTCTCTTGCCTTCCATGGAATATGAAGAAGAAGTTGAAGAAAATCATGAAAATACAACTCCTCCACCATCTCCCACTCAAGCTCAAGCTTCATCACCAAGTTCGGATGAAAGAGAAATACCACGCATGAGAAGCATTGAAGAGCTTTACGAGGTAACACAAAATTTGAACTCAAATGATGAACTTACACTCTTTTGTCTATTTGGTGATTGTGAGCCACTAAGTTTTCAAGAAGCCACAAGAAACAAGAAATGGAGAGATGTAATGGATGACGAGATCAAGTCAATCGTGAAGAATAAAACATGGGAGCTTGCCACACTTCCACCAAAACATAAAGCAATTAGAGTGAAATGGGTATTTAAGATCAAGAAAAATGCAAAAGAAGTTGAGAAGTACAAGGCAAGACTAGTGGCCAAAGGCTACGCCCAGAGACATGGCATTGATTATGAAGAAGTATTTGCGCCCGTGGCTAGATTAGAAACAATAAGATTGATATTTGCATTCGCGGCTCACAACAAGTGGAAGATACATCAAATGGATGTCAAGTCTGCATTCTTAAATGGGTTCCTAGAAGAAGAAGTCTACATTGAGCAACCCGAAGGTTACAAAGTCAAAGGGCAAGAAGGTAATAACATGACGATGTTTGATGAATTTAAACAAGTCATGACAAAGGAGTTCGAGATGACTGACATTGGGCTTATGAGTTACTATCTTGGCATCGAGGTGAAACAAATGGATGATGGTATATTCATCACTCAAGAAGGATACACGAGAGAAGTACTCAAGAAGTTCAACATGGAAGACTCTAAACCTGTAAGTACACCTGTTGAAAGTGGACTAAAGCTATCAAGGTATGATAAAGGAAAATTGATTGATCCAACTTACTTTAAGAGTCTTGTGGGGAGCTTAAGATACTTAACATGTACAAGACCAGATATTCTCTTCGGTGTTGGACTTGTTAGTCGATTCATGGAGGCCCCCACAACAACTCATTTGAAGGCTGCAAAAAGGATTTTGCGGTATCTTAAAGGCACCACCGAATATGGGTTGTTTTACTCTTCATCTGATGAGTTTAAGCTGGTTGGATATTGTAATAGTGATTGGGGTGAAGATATTGATGACCGCAAGAGCACAACTGGGTTCGTATTCTACATGGGAAACACTGCTTTCACATGGGTTTCAAAGAAGCAATCGATCGTCACTCTATCCACTTGTGAAGCCGAGTACGTTGCAGCAACATCAAGTGTGTGTCATGCAATTTGGCTCCGCTACATATTGCAAGCTCTCAGCATGTCTCAAGAAGAAGCAACAACAATATTTGTGGACAACAAGTCAGCTATTGCATTAGCAAAGAATCCAGTGTTTCATGATCGAAGCAAGCACATAGACACTCGATATCATTTCATTCGAGGAAAGATAGCGGAGAAGGAAGTTCAAATAGAGTATGTGAAGACTCAAGACCAAGTCGCTGATATTCTCACAAAGCCACTCAAGCATGATGTCTTTGCAAAGATGTGAAATCTACTTGGTGTTGCTAAGTCAAGTTTAAGAGGGGATGCTAGAAATTAAACTTGGCTTAGCCCAATAATTGGGTCCATTAGATGTTAACTTATTGGGCTAGAAGTTGTATGATAATTAATAAATTAGCTAGCCCATAAGATAGACTTAGAAAGATCTAGAGTAGTTAATGTACCTAAACAATTCTAGATTATTCCTAAGCTAGAATCCTATAGAATATTCTAGAAGGTTAAGGAAGTAGGAGTGCCTAGAAGGATCCTATGAGACCTATAAATAGAGCACTCCTCACTCATTTGTAAAGCAAGCCAAAAGCTCCAAATCAATACAAGTTCCAAGTTCTTCTAAAATCACCTCTCTCTAAAATTCTCTCTTCCACACACAATCACCCAAATATAATACTCATCAACTACTTTCTTCCAACAGTTGGTGGGCCCGGCTAACAAAAAGATGAAGCTGGACTGCAAGTGGGCTGCAACCAGACATCTCTTTGGTTGAGAATTCTAGTCCCAGCTGTGTCGAATGTCATACATTTCTTAGCATTTTGGTTGGTAATTATGGTCCCGACCGTCTTCTAAAAGCTTGTTTGGGGATTCTTTTGTCAGGTATAGTTGTAAAAGAGTGCTTTAAAATTCTAATTCTACTGAAATGATTTTTATTTTGTAAAACTCTTAAAATAAGGTTTCGGATGTGAGCATTAAAACTCTTCTTTCCTTAAATAATGGTTTGGTCTGCCTAGGCGAATATTTTATTTATCGACTCATTTAATGTTTTTTATTTTGAAGAAAGTGACTTATATTATCAAAGAAATAATTTTTTTTAACCCGGAAGGCAAACCACCAAAATCAGTGGGACAAATGTCGGAAGACATTTACTCGGTATTATTAATGATAGAAAAGAAATACAAACTTGAGGGGACCAAACCTTACTTGAGAAAAATGAAGATTACATTCTAATTGAAGGAATACCAAAAAAATCCATCCAAAAGAACCTTTTAGCAGGAGTAGGAAGTTGATCCAGCCCAGTGAAAATATTTAATTTGTCCGTCCGAAAT